TTAGTTAAACTCATATAGAATGTTTTTAGGGTGATATATATATATCATGGTTTAGTTAAACTCATATAGAATGTTTTTAGGGTGATATATATATATCATGGTTTAGTTAAACTCATATAGAATGTTTTTAGAGTGATATATATATAATAGACGCTAATATAGATCACTGTAACGAGAAATCTAACGTCATCTCATCATCTCCAAGAAGTCTTCTCGTTCCTCCTGTGCTTAGATGATTAAATCCTGACGTTGTTGTTCTGTGGTTTCCCGTGATGTCTAATGAAGAAAACATATCTGGAGAGAACGAGAAAGAAGGTTCTGCATGTGATTAGTTTCGGCTTTTCGAACTAAGAAGTAAGTTTTCTAGGAACATGATAGGATACTCCGACGTGTTTGTGGAATTAAGAGAGGGACCTCCGGCGACAAGAACTCTGAAAGATAACGAACGCTTCGGGAGATAAGTGTTCAAAGCAGCCAAGCTGTTTTGAGTGTCAAAAATCGATATTGAATCGGTGTTGCTGCAATAACTGGCTGTAACTAGCTACTTAGGCGCTAATTTGTGTGTGTTGTGTGTAGAGGGGGGGGGAGCTAGTGAGAAGAAAATAAGTATTTACTGAGAAGATAGACTCTAAAGTAACTTAGCACGGTTTGTTTGTTTTGAATTTCGCGCGAAGCTACACGAGGGCTATCTGCGCTAGCCGTCCCTAATTTAGCAGTATAAGACTAGAGGAAAGGCAGCTAGTCATCACCACCCACCGCCAACTCTTGGGCCACTCTCTTTACCAACGAATAGTGGGATTGACCGTCATATTATAACGCCTCCACGGCTGAAAGAGCGAGCATATTTGGTGTGACGGGGATTCGAACCCGCGACCCGCAGATTGCGAGTCGAGCGCCCTAACGATCTGGCCATGCCGGGCATATATATATCAGATATATATTACAAAGCTACACAGTGGGCTATCTGCACTCTTTCCACCGCGGGGAATCGAACTCTGAATTTTGGCTTTGTATACCGGAAGATTACTGCTGTCCCACCGAGGACACTGAAAGAGCAGAGGGAGAAGAGGATTTCTTAGTGAAAAGAAGAAAGAAATATAATAAGGGAAAGGATGAAAACAGGATTCTTTGTAAAAAAAAAAAGAAAAAAAAGCATAAGTTTAATCAGAATCTAGGTCCTTATTGCACATGTTGGAATACTTTACCAGAGCTTTCATTGCACCAGAGAGACTGCATACTACTTGTTTATATAACTTCTACAAAAAAAAAATTATACAGTTTCTTTTTTATGATAAAAAAGTATTCTGCGAAATGCAGAGAAATAAGCCCATGGCAACACATAAACCTATGTAAATTAAATCTTTCCAACAGAATCTGAGTTTGTGTTGATGACAACACATAAACCTATGTAAATTAAATCTTTCCAACAGAATCTGAGTTTGTGTTGATGGCAACACATAAACCTATGTAAATTAAATCTTTCCAACAGAATCTGACTTTGTGTCATGGGCGATACAGTCTTACAAATTCAACCGTCAGATTGTTTGATTACTCCCAAGCCTTGAAAAAAAATTCAGATTTAATTTGTTGGGAGTTCGAATACTTTAGAAAAGCTATAGTCATACGAAAATTGAAACTTTCAGGATGTGAACAAGAAAACAAATAGATGGAAAGCAAAAAAAAACCATGACTGCAAAATGTATTGTAACAACATCATATATATCAGTTTGTTTGTTTGTTTGTTTTGGAATTTCGCGCAAAGCTACACGAGGGCTATCTGCGCTAGCCGTCCCTAATTTAGCAGTGAAAGACTAGAGGGAAGGCAGCTAGTCATCATCACCCACCGCCAACTCTTGGGCTACTCTTTTACCAACGAATAGTGGGATTGACCGTCACATTATAACGCCCCCACGGCTGAAAGGGCGAGCATGTTTGGTGTGACGGCGATTCGAACCCGCGACCTGCAGACTGCTAGCCGAGCGCTCTAACCACCTGGCCATGCCGGGCCCATATATATCAGATTCCCAGAGTGTCAGACTTTAAAA